CAGAGGTCCAGAAGAGGGCTTCGGATTCCCCTGGAACTGGAGTTAAGGACAGTTTGTAGCCACCATGTGGGTGCTGGGAATCGAACTTGGGTCTTCTGCAAGAGCAGTCAGTGCTCTTAACCGCTGAGCCATCTTTCCAGCCCCATCCTCTGCCAGTGTTCTTAACTGCTGGGAGGAAAGGGGAAAAAAGGGCAGACTAGGTACCACAGGGGCATCAGCAGAGCAAGTATAAATCTCATTCCTTTTTTAAAAAATATTTTATTTACTATTTTTATTTTATGTTTATGAATGTATTGCCTTGCACGTATGTGAGTGCACCCATGTCGTGCATTGCCGCGGAGGTCAGGACAGGGCTTCGGATTCTCCTGGAACTGGAGTTAAGGATGGTTTGTAGCTGCCATGTGGGTGCTGGGAATTGAACCCGGGTCCTCTGCAAGAGCAGTCAGTGCTCTTAACCGCTGAGCTATCTCTCCAGCCCTATGCTACACACCTTTAATTCCAGCACTTGGGAGGTAGAGACAGGCCAATCTCTGTGAGATCAATGTGAACTTTGGTCTACATAGTGAGTTCCAGTCCATCTGTGGCTATAGGGTGACCCTCTCTCAAAACAAAACAAAAGATCACTTCCTCAGCAGCCAAAAGAAAAATAGGCAGCTACATTTTCAAAAAAGCAGTATGCAAAGTTGCCCAGTTTGGGGATACCATCATTCATTTTGTCCTGTGAAATCAAGAACAGCTTGATAGGAGTGATGCTGTACTTAGGTTTTAAAGTCAGATAGAACAAATGAAAAGTCCAGTGGTATTGAAAATGCTTTAATATTCCATATCCAGGGCTGGGGATATGTAGCTCAGTTGGTAGCGTGCTTGCCTAACATGCACAAAGCCTGGAGTTCAGCTTTTGATAAATGGGGCATGGTGGTGCACTTCTGTAATCCTTACGCTTGGGAGGTGGAGGCAGGAGGATCAGGAGTCCAAGGTCATCCTTAGCTACGTACTGAGCTCTAGACCAGCTTGGATGCAGGATTCCATCTTTAAAAAAATAAAATAAAATGATCCTGTATCCAGGATATAGGCTAACAACACAAGCATCACTATAGCACTGGGCAAACCTGGTGGTACTTGGAAGCGTGGGACAGCCTGCAGTCCCCCTAGTGTCAGAATGAAGCCATGCTCCATGTAGTTTCCTACACTGGCTCCTATTGCCACTCCTCCTCTGAAACCTTCAATGGGAAAACTACAATTTGTTTTAATTTTATTTAGATTTATTTATGTATATGAATGTATATGCATGTATATATATGTGTACCACATGCAGGCCTGGTGCCTGTGGAGGCCAGAAGAGGGCATCAGATCCCTTGGAACTGGAGTTACAGATGGTTGTGAACCCCACCTGGGTGCTAGGAATTGAACCCTAGTCCTCTGCAAGAGCAGCAAGTGCTCTTAACTGCTGAGCCATCTCTCAGTCCCCCACCATTTGCTTTTTTGTTTGTTTGTTTATTTATTTATTTTTTGGTCTTTTTGAGACAGGGTCTCTGTAGCCTCAGCTGGCCCAGAACTCACTGTGTAGAGCAGGCTGGCCTTGAACTCACAGCGATCTGTCTGCCTCTGCCTCCCAAGTACTGGGATTAAAGGCACCATGCACAGCCTCCTACCATTTGGTTTTAAGTCAAAGATATGCCAAAGACCACCAGAATAGACAGCTGTTGTAAAACAGCCAACTGCTGGAGTAAGCCAGCTCAGCTTCCTTCTCTCCACTAGAAGCTCCATTCTGTGCTTATAGAAATAACAAGCAGAAGGCTGGGGTGATGACTTAGTCTCTTAAAGTACCCACCACACAAGTATGAGGACCTGACTTTTATCCCCAGCACCTACGTAAAAGCAGGTGAGGCAGTGTTCATCTGCAACCCCAGGTAGGTGGCAGAAACAGCTAGATCCTTAGAGTTCATTGGCCAGCCATCCTAGCTGATTGCTGGGTTCCAGGTTCACTGAGAGACCACTTCTCAGAAAATAAGGTGAAGGATAATAGAGGAAGACACATGATGTCAATCTCTGGCCTGAACATGCACTGTTCGTGCATCTATATGCACAGATTTGCATGCAAACACTTATGTACACAATATACATACCAAAAATAAACAAATATTTATAAAGAAAGAACAAATAGATACTGGCATAGTTATACACACCTGTAATCCCAGGACTCAGGAAGCAGAGGCAGGGGACTTGCCACAAGTTTAAGGCCAACCTCATCTACATAGTCTGTAAGAAAAAGTATAAACAGGTATTTATTACGATAAAAGAAATTGTGGGGGAAGCTGTCAGAAGGGTCATGAGTGATGCACATGTGCTCGTATGCACTGCCACCTGGTTCTTTAGAAAAGCATAGTCACTGGTAAGACCGTTCCCACTGAAGGACATGCCAGGATCTCAAGAATCAGTCTCTACGCTAGCTTGAGTAATGACGCAGATACTTGGTAATAAATGGAACTGAAAACAACTAGCATGAAAGAGACTAGAAGAAAACCATAAAATAGCCTGCTGTTGGGACGGAGAATAGTCAGTGATAGGTGATTTGTAGTTTTTACCAGTCTCCGTGGCATACCTCACTGTGGCTGATGTAAAGATAGTGATATGGAGTCAGGTCGGGCAGGCAGGTGCCAGCCTGCCCCAGCCCACTGTGAAGAACCTCATCAGTGTGGCTTTGTCGCTGCACAGCAGCTAACTCATAGTAAGGCCTTGCCTAGCACACTCCTGCCCAGCACACCCTCTACTTAACAGCAGATCCAAGTGCCTGTGCCAGACAGTTGGGCCACATTTTTTGATCAGTAACTGATGGAAGGGGCTGAGCAATGCCATGTGCCAGATTCTTGGGATGATGTGGTCAGAGGCAGCTTCTCTGGAGGTGTCTTTCACCTGAGCCACTGTGGGGAGAGAGCCACAGGGGCCTAAGGATGAGTCAGAGGAGCATTTGAATGAAGGTTAACTCTTTCATCTTAAGTAATAACTGACTCAGCACTATCTTCCCTGTTCTGAGAGAACAAATTCTCAGAAGCCAAAGGCAGCACTGCTCATTTGATCCACCAGATGTTTTGGCTGACAGCTGTGGAATCCTGTGTGCTCTCAGAAATAACTCTGCAAATGTTGTGGTAAATATTTCCTGACTTTTCCAAGTTTCGATTTCATATTCACTATGTTCACTATGACCTTATGGGAAGGAATTTTTTTTGTTTGGTCTTTTTGAGACGGTCTCCTTGTAGCCCCAGTTGTCCTGGAACGTACTATGTAGACCAGGCTGGCCTCGAACTCACCTGCCTATGCCTCCCAAGTGTTGGGATTAAGGGCATGCACCACCACGCCTGGCCTGGTCTCTTTTTTTTTCATGTTTTATTTTATTATTTTAAGTATATGTGTGTATTGCCTGCATGTAGGTAAGTGCACCCGTGTCACGCAATGCCCTTGGAGGACAGAAGAGGCTGTCGGACCCCCTGGAACTGAAGTTACAGACAGTTGTTAGCTGCCATGTGGGTGCTGGGATTTGAACCTGGATCTTCTGCAAGAACAACCAGTGTTCTTAACTGCTGAGCCATCTTTCCAGGGTCTCCCTATAGCCTCAGCTGGCCTGGAACTCACTATGTAGACAAGGCTGGCCTTGAGCTCACAGCGATCTGCCTGCCTCTGCTTGCTGAGTGCTGTGATTAAAGGTGTGTGCTCTAAAATATTTTGTTTATTATTTTATGTGTATGAGTGTGTTGCCTGCATGTATGTAAGTACACCCATGCTCTGAAATGCTGGCAGAAGTCAGAAGAGGGTGTTGGATCCCTTGGAACTGGGGTTACAGACAGTTGTTAGCTGCCATGTGGGTACTAGGAACTCAGCTGTGTTCCTCTGCAAGAGTAATCAGTGCTCTTAACTGCTCAGCCATCTCTCCAGTCCCCAAGAATAATATTTTGTATGTTAACTGCTCCTGTCTGCAACTCTTGTCAAGAATCACTGTGGCCGGGCTTGGTGGCGCACACCTTTAACTCCTCCAGCACTTGGGAGGCAGAGGCAGGTGGATCTGAGATCAAAGCCAGCCTGGTCTACATAGCAAGTTCCAGGTCAGTTGTGGGGCTACAGGGAGCCTCCTGTCTCGAAAAACAAAAGAAGAATCCTCTTGTGCAATTCTCACTTATCCCTACGTCATTTTCGGACAAGCTTGGGGCACAGGCTAGCAGATATTAACTAGGCATATCCTGCTTGTCACCTTCATTACAAATGTCCATTTCATGGAATGAGTGCTGTTGACCACCACTTTATTGGAATTTCAGTTATTCACCATTAGACTCGTCCTTTTTCTCCCCACCCTGTGAAAAATGAGAATCTTGTGAGTTTGAAGAAATGTGGGTGGCCAAGTACAGCTGTAGGATACAGCTGTTAGCAAAGTTGTGTGAACAGTCACACACTGCCTCCCCAACTTGGAACCAGGTGTACTGTGAGCACAGCAACAATGAGCATGCTGTATGACCTGAAGCACCTGCTTGGCCTAGACTTTAGAGGGAATCTGTATTAGTCTATAGTTATACAAATATCATGTGAATGTTTTCCACTTAGAATAGCTCAAAAACTCCTTAGACCACCCATACAGAGCTGGTCCTTCCCAAAGCTAACAGTCCTTATGCATTCAAAACCTATTTGACTAGCTATTTTTACGCATGTGCATGTTAATCATAGAAGTAGACTTTGTTGTCTTTTACATATTCTATTCAGGAGGGGTAAGTATTGTCAGCACATCAGATCTCCGAATACCATCTTGCGGAGCTGGCCTTGCCCCTATCCATCCTCTCACCAGACCCCAGCAACCACAATGGGGCTTTCTGTCTTGATGAACTGGACTAGGTAATCCATCTAAGTGGAATCATCGGGCATTTGTCCTTTGCGACTGGCTTATTCCACTGCACATAATGACCCGAAGGTCCACATTCACCGTGATGTATACCAGTTTCCTTCCATTGTTAGAATGAGTTTGTGTTCTCTCTCTCTCTGTTTTTTGTTTTTTTTTTTTTGGTCAGGTCTTCTGTAGCTCCAGTCCACTCACTATGTAGACCAGGTTGGCCGGCCTCAATCTCGCAGAGATCCACTTGCCTTTGCCTCCCTAGTGCTGAGATTAAAGGTGTGCACCGCCCCACTTGTCATGAATTTATTCTCTTTTTAACTATGAATTGTGTTCGGTGTATATGAACCTACCGTTCTGAAGTGATTTTCTTGTTTTTTTCTGAATTTTTTCTTTTTTATTATTTCAGGTGATATTACTGCATTACTTTATTAAGACATTTTTAAAGCCTAAGGGTGTATAGATCAGCGGTAGAGCACTTGTCTAATGTGTGTGTAACACTGAGTTTGATCTGAAGCTCTGCCAAACACAGTCACCTTCAGATCAGACTATATGTCAGTAATTTCTTACCCTGGCCTCTTAGCGATGTGTTCTTTGCTTTACCTTTAGGGACTCTGCTGGAGGCAAAAGTTTAAAAAGCACCAACTGAATATGTATCTGTAAGTCCTGTCCCTAGAAGTAGGTAAACCAGAGGCAGGCACAGCTTTCAAGGAAAGAAGCCTTGGTATTTCTGCAGATGTTTTCAAGGCTTATAATCACTTGCTTTAAATAACAGGCATTGGGAAAACATGAAAAATTGTTCTCCACTGTAGTCCTTTGACCCCTCTTGTACATTTGAATGGAATGAGGTAGCACCTGGGGAGCTGTCTGGTGGACACAGAGTTCATTTTCAGGTAAAGACAGTCTGGAGGTGGCAGTCACATAGTGTGAACAGACATTACTGAATGGTACACTTAGTGTACCATTACACTGAGTTCAAGCTAGCTGAGGCTTAACATGGTTAAGATGGGGCTGGCTGTATGGCCCCATGGCAGAGTACCTGCCTGGGATACTTAAGGCTTTTGGGGTGATCCCTTGTGCCAGAAAAAAAAATGAGAATGGTTAATATGGGGTGTGGCTCAGTGAAAGCTCTGGGTTCAGTGTCTTAACAGCAAAAACAGCCAAAAAAAGGTTAAGATGGTAAATTTTGTGTTACAAATTTTATAATTTAGAATTTTAAAGAGCAGGTCTTTAAAGCAAGCACTGTTAATTGTGCAATGCTGACCTTCTCATTGCACTTACATACAATTGGACAGATCTCAGTCAAGAAGCAGTGTTCCCTCTCCTGGGTACGCCTCCCAGCATGTGTCTCAGGTAGGCTGTCTTTAATGTCAGGGCCCCACATCACAGTTGCAGCACTGAAACTATTTGCTTCCTCTTCTGCTCAGGTCGGCTGTAACCCCAATGAAGATGTGGCTATCTTTGCTGTTGACTCATTAAGGCAACTTTCTATGAAGTTTTTGGAAAAGGGAGAATTAGCCAACTTCAGATTTCAGAAGGATTTTCTGAGGCCCTTTGAGCACATTATGAAAAAAAACAGGTAATTTGCATTGTTGGGAAGACCCTTGCTCACATGCCCGATTGGCATCTAAAAGTCCCTCCCAGTGCATGATTAATTTTTTTCTCTCTTGATGCAAGCAAGTAGATTGAGCAGTTGGGCAAAGACTCCTTTAAAAAATATGTAGTTCAGCTGGGCATAGTGGCACACGCCTTTAATCCTAGTATTCAGGAGGCAGAGGCAGGCTGATCTCTGTAAGTTCGAAGCCAGCCTGGTCTACATAGTAAGTTCAAGTTAGCTGAGGCTACAGTGAGACCCTGTCACAAAAAGACCAACAACAACAACAAAAAGGTAGTTCAAGGTCTTCAAATTAACCCAATGGTACAGCCTATGTTAGAATGTATGAAATCCTGACTTTAATTCCCAGCACCCCTTACACACACAAATACATGTACACACATGTACCTCAAACACGTTGCATCATTCTGCATGGGAAAGCCAGGAACTCAATTTTATGAGGTATTGAAACTACCTAGGGCAGTCAGCCCTCCATCTTCTGCAGGCGGCATATTTACTTTGTCAGTTTATTTCTGACTTTGGCCTCTCTCTGCCTTCTGCACGTGGCTTTCCTATGGTGGATGAGCATGGGTCCAGCACACAGATCCGAGTGCCCTCTCATGACTTTCAGTGCTAGTGCTATAGAAGCAATGGGTCTGTGTGGTGTTACTTCTTCCTGTCTCTGAACAGTGTGTGTCTTCATAGCTAATCTATGCAAGTATTCAGGTAATATTGTGCTTAGCCTTGTTGCTGTTTCAGAAAATGGGCTATTTTTCCAACTTGACATAAATAAAGTTAAATTATTACTTCTTAAATTGTATACGTATACTCTAGTCCATGTTTGTATGATCATTATCTATACCTATCCCTGACTCAAAATGGAAAAGGATAGAGTCTTACAGATTTGGCGATGATTATTTCTGGGTGGTAGAATTCTTGAGTCCATTAACTGAAATAAGGGTGGGGCTTAAAAGCAAACAACTGCTTTGACCACAGGCTGGACCTTGTTTAGGTAACAAGCAGTCAGAGCTAGGCAGGCCCAACTCTAGTTCCGCAGCCCAAATCCCTGTAAACCCGGACTTGCTCCCTTCTTTGGTTCTGCCAGACACAGGGTCAGATTTCCTCCTTGACTTTATTGTTTCGTGATCACAGGATGATGGCTCTAATTCCACGGTGGGATGAAAGGAAAGGGGCAGAGCCTGAATCAAATACATTACTATGTACTTTTAGACATAGTTTTGTAATATGCTGCTCTTAAGGGAAGAGCTGTGTTCGTTTCTTCTGCTTTCCAACATACAGGTGACACTGCTCTCCCCTTCTTCCTCAGGTCTCCAACCATCCGGGACATGGTGATCCGCTGCATCGCCCAGATGGTGAGTTCCCAGGCAGCCAACATCCGCTCAGGCTGGAAAAACGTCTTTGCTGTGTTCCACCAGGCTGCCTCTGATCATGATGGCAACATTGTGGAGCTGGCTTTCCAAACCACGGGCCACATCGTCTGTAAGTGCTTCATCGTCTAACATTCCAGTTGAAGTCTAGCAGGAGGCCATTTGCTGTTTATCTTACTACCTAGGGGGCTTCCTTGCTTTAGTTCTGCCGTGATGAGATAAATATATGCTGGGCACTGTTGGAAGGACTTGGCAGCTGTCAATCTTCACAACAACCCTGTGTTCCTCTTTGGCCAAATGGGGGAAGCAATGGTTGCTCAGGGTAGTTAAAGCGTATTCATGATAGCAAAGGAGATACAGTCAGTTCTCAGTGCTTGCAGTTCCCAGTTCACCAGCTCACTACAATGTAGACGTAGCCCCCTAAGCCCTTGCTTGCTCCTTTTGTGGTTATTTGCCAGTACAAGCATAAGCAGAGCACCGACAAACCTGACTCCCCCAGGGGTGTTCACGCCCTCAGCTGTGTGCAGGCTTCTTTCTGCAGTGTGTCAGGTGCCACAGTTTTCACACTTGCATGCTTTCTGATGGTGATTTCATTGTTTAAAATGGCCCCAAAGCCTGATGTATCTTACAGAGAAAATACTCGTTGGATTGAGCTCACTTTATACAGGCTGTTGGCTATGAGTTCAATGTTCATGCATCAATATCTGTTAAACATAATGTCATGAAGGAGAACACAGCTGTGACAGGGCTTTCGGTTGGGTGGTTTGGTTGGTTGATGAAAATGCGACAGAGGTTTGCAGGACCTCGTTTCTGCTCTAGAAGCTGGGGTTAGTGTTCCTGAATTCAGTATTCATAGACACTATAAAGAATATAACTGTGCGGGGCTGGAGAGATGGCTCAGCGGTTAAGAACACTGGTTGTTCTTGCAGAAGACCTGTGTTCGAATCCCAGTACCTACATGGCAGCTAACAACTGTCTGTAACTCCAGTTCCAGGGGATCTGACAGCCTTTTCTGTCCTCCAAGGGCATTGCACGATATGGGTGCCTACATGCAGGCAATACACGCATACACATAAATAAATATATATACATAAAACCATGAATCACTCTTCTTTCTCTCATTCTGTGGAGGAGGAGATTGAAGCACAGGAAATTTGAGCAGAACCTTAGATTTCTTAGAGCCAGTCGTCTCTGAGCTCCACCATTAAATCCTGGTACCTTGTTTCCTCAGCGACCATCTTCCAACACCACTTCCCTGCAGCTATCGACTCCTTTCAAGATGCTGTGAAGTGCTTGTCTGAGTTCGCCTGCAATGCTGCTTTTCCCGACACCAGCATGGAGGCCATCCGTCTCATCCGCTTTTGTGGGAAATACGTCTCTGAGAGGCCACGGGTGAGTCTCCTTGCTTACGTGGGTGGGCATTGGGCAGAAAGTCTAGGGCAAATCTCCTTGCTCCTGGCAAAGAGCTTCCAGCTGTCTGGAAAATGTGTCTCAGTTCTGATACTGCCACAACAGGACCAAATCAATTTGCACTAGGATTTATTCAAATGAGTTTTTAGGGTTTTGGTTTAGTTTGGTTTTTATGCTAAAAATAGTGATAGTTTGGCTCAGTGATTAGGATGCCCTTACATGTAGGCAAAACACTCATACACATAAAATAAAAACAAACCCAAAAACTGTTTAAATGATGTCCCGCATGGTGGCACACACCTTTAATCCCAGCACACCTTTAATCTCTGAGTTCTAGGCCGGCTGGGGCTACAGGGAGACCCTGTCTCAAAAAAAGACCAAAAACATAATTTTTTTTAATGGTAGCTAATATGTTTATTTTCAGTTACATTTTACTCATTTTGTGAGTGCGTGTGTGTATATGTGTTAGACCACATGTACCACAATGCATGTGTGGAGGTCAGAGGAGTTGGCATTTGGCTCTTTCCTTCCATCATGTAGGTCCAGGGGATCAAACTCAAGTTGTCAGACTTGGTGGTAGGCACTTTTACATGCTATGCCATCTCTCTGGCCATTTTGTGGGGGTGCCTTTTTTTAGTCATTTTTATTTTACATGTATATGTTTTGCCTACATGTATGTAAGTAAGTCCATGTTATGCAGTGCCTTCAGAAGCCTGAAGAAGGTGTCAGATCCCCTGAAACTGGAGTTACAGACAGTTGTTAGCCACAATGTGGGTCCTGGGAACGGAATCCAGGTCCTCTGCAAGAACAGCCAATGCTCTTAATTAGGGAGCCTTCTCTCCAACCCCTGGGGCTGTTTTGAGACAGGGTCTCACTATGTAGCTCAGACTGCCCTTGAACTTATGATAATTCTCCTGCCTTAGCCTCCTAAATGTTGAGATTACAGGTATGCACTACCACACCTGGCAGTTTTAGTCATACTGAACTTTACACAGCGTTCCACACATTGTCTCTGTGGATGCTAATAGTATTTTAGTTTTCTTGTTTTGTCAAAGTTCAAGAAGCTAGCTCCTGCTGGGCATGGTGCTACACACCATTAATCTCAGCACTTGGGAGTCAGAGGCAGGTGGACTTCTGGGAAATGGAGACTGGCCTAGCCTACATAGCTACCAACTGGGGCACAGGGAGATCTTGTCTCAAAAAAACAAAAACAAATAAAAAAGCATCTAGTTCCTATGAAAGAAAACAAACCTCCCCTTTCCAAGAATTGGCATTTTGCCTAAGAACTTGGAGTTACAAATTGCTTTTGTGGGTTGGGGAACTCAGTAGTGGAATGTGTGCTTAACATGCATGAGGCCCCCACATTTTATCCCTACCACCATCACCCCCTCCAAAAAGAAAAAAAAAAGTCACCTTTTGTTTGCTCTTGAAAATGTTTGGGGTTTTTCTGATATATCTCACCTTTCTGGATGAGACTTTTAAACTCAACTGGGGAGCTGGAGTGATGACTCAGCAGTTAAGAGCACTGACTGCTCTTACAGAGGAATTGGGTTTGATTTCCAGTACCTACATGACAGCTAACAACTGTCCTTAACTCCAGCAGGCAGTACACACATTACACAAATTAAGATATATATATATATATTTTAAACTACTCAACTAAAGGGACAGTCCCAAAACACTGTAACTGGAGGTAAATAAACCCACCTCAACTATACTGCTTTATACAGACCTCTTAAGTGTTCTTCACAGAATTGGGAAAACTGCCTGATGATATGTCTAGTCTTTTTTTTTTTTTATTTTATAATG